TAAAAAGAGATAAATGCAAAATACGTTCTTAGTTAAATCAAAATTTTGTTTTCAAAAAAAAAAAAAAAGATAATCGACCATATACTTTTATTTATATAATACATAATACAATTATAAATATTCATCAAACGACTTAAAATTGTGCCTTAATCTTAAAAAGCCATCCCACATTTCGTACAGGGTCAGATGAAATCTACACTCGATCTACTTTGTACGGATACATCACCTAATTCACTATGTCTTAGTTCAATATTTGGCATTCTCAAGAATTCCTCGCTCTTGAAACACTAACTTATCCTTCCAAATTTGTTTCAGGAAAAGCATTTCTCAACACTTGATGAAACACCTAAATGTATATTGTTAAACACTTATATTCTCAAGAATGCATTTATGAATTGACAGATCAATTGCACTAAAAATATAATTAGCAACTGATCTGATCACATTTGGAATTAACTGAGAAACAAAACGATATAGGTCTTTGCCTTGAAAATGACCTTATGGAGCATAGTAATTGCTACATCCAATAAGGTTATTTTCAAGGCAAAGCCCCACACGTGTATATTACTTAGATTAATATGAAATCCTTTGATTCTATCACAGGCGGTAAAAAAAAACTCCTAGCACCAACTTGTGAGCCAGTATATGACATGCCAATTCCAAAGCTACCATATAGCCTGAAAAATTATTGATATATCATAAGTTGTAAGTTTCTGTTTTAATATTTGAAGAGTAATATTCTATTCAGGTCCGTAAAAAAAAAACTTTGGTAATATACAATATATAACACATACTGGAACGTAAAGATATGATCTTTGTATATACCTCCTAGAAACACCATAAATCGCATCGGCAAACTTCTAATAATGCTGTAAATGAAATTGATAAAGGCAAAAATAAATAACTCTGCCTTGATTCTTTATAGCACCGAATAATTTAACAAGGACACGTCTCTGACTAAAACTAAATAAAAAATAACTGTATTTCTTGAAGGAATGAGAATCAAAATTATTAAAGTGACAGAGATATTTCGACGTGAATGCGCGTTCCTTACTGAGTAAAATCAATAACCAGCTCAATAAATAAGAAGTTTTATTTAACAGTTGCACCTATTCTTTATGTTCTATTGAATTTGTAGGTCAAATATTACTTTATTTAATTGTATAACACTAATTTACTTATAAGGTCAAAAATGAGTATTAGGAGTTGGTTATAATTGATCTCCGCCGTATGATCATATGTCCTTGATTTGCGATTTACCCCTTAATTATTTTTGAATTTTTATTTTTTTATCTAAAATATTAGTTAGACATCTCTGGTTCAAAGTTATAAACAAAAATTTTGTCAATTTGTTCTTAAAAAATTAATAGTGCATAAATTATCTTAGTTTTAGTCGAGGCGTAGGGTGTTCTCAAGCACTTCAATCAATGGTAAAATTTTTAGAGATGTTAAATTACGAGTCCGGTCGGTCCGATCCTAAGACCTTCAGGACGGTCCTGGACTCAAATCCTTAACTCACGTGAAAACACAATATGTACTTATTCATACAGAATTCAGATCTTGAACTGGATATTTGAATGGTTCATCCAATCAATTTAATTCTGCATTGTTTAATAAGTCCTATATAAATGTATTATGTTTTCACGTGACTTAAGGACCGAATCCTTACCGATCCTTGAAAGGATCGGTTAGGACTCGATCCCAAAGGACCGATTAAACATCCCTAAAAATTTTAATTAGTCTGAAATTGTATAAACTAACCAAGTGAGTTACCATTTCGATCGACTATCATTTTTTTTCATAGAATTGCTCTGATTGGATGTAATCAAACCCGGTAGTTTTGGTTTTTATTAGATTCTCCAAAGTTTTTACTATATTCAACGATTGTGTCATAACACGAATTATAATAAGTAAATTGTGCATTTGCCTGTTACGTACGTACGTACGTACGTCGTACATGGATTGTGTTATCACTTGCATCATATTTCATAGGTCTTTGAGATTTGGGATATGCAAAAGAAATGGGCACAGATTTTTGTTTCAAATTAGGTTTGGAACATCAATAAATGTCAATCCCCATTCGGTTTGATTTACATCGCTATCGCTATAAATAGTCACCAGAAATAAATTATAAAAATAGTCCTCATAATGAATTTACGGAAATAAGCTAGATCTCATGTGCAAAGTTTTGTGACATCTACAGTAGATCAATCTATTAGCTAACGCTAAGCCGTTAAGCTATTAAATATTTAACGGTTTAGTCCAGCGTAAAAAATTTAATCGATTTAAAATACCAACTTAAAGCTGCTAAATAGTGTTCCGCAGATCCGTCAAGCGGATCGGGTTCGGATCCACGATTTTTACAGCTGTTTTCATAAATTCTAGAAAATCTGGCAAAATTAACCGACCGAATATTTGCCGATTTTCGATAAGTTTTGATTAATTACTTATTACAAAAATAAGTAGAGGTACAAAATATCATACAGCCAACTCTATCTATTCCGAACTGCCCGTTCTTTGATATTTAGTTCAGTTCTCAAAGAGGTATTATATGCTAATCCGAACTTTATAATAAAATTTATAAATGTCTTAGAGTTTTAGGTTTGGATTAAAGAGAGTTCGGATTAGAGAGGTACGGATTAGAGAGAGTTGACTGTAGCTATATTTTTATGAGTACCATTAGAATATTCTTCTATAATACAGTACTTCTAAAATACTATTTATGTTTTTAATATGTATGTAATTATCGATCAGAAGTATAGGACATTTTAAAATATATATGAAAAGATATCAAGTCTCGAAAGAAAATTCACGATCATAAAAGTTATTTTATAAATAAGCTTACAAATCAAAATAAATAAGATTAATGAACCGCTGATTTCGAAATAAATACATCGCTGATTTAATTCTTAATTCTGAATCACCCTATTACTGTAATCACAGAAGTTTATCACTGCGAAACAAAAACTTATCGAACCGGCATATATTCTGTCGGTCAGTTTTTACCAGATCTTCCAGCATTTATGAAAACAGCTGTAAGATTAGCTGAATTCGGATCTACATAGAGATTCGATCCGTCATATATAAATACTTGGACCCGATCCGAATTTTCGAATCGAATCTGGATCCTTGAAAATATCCGTCCGATCCGATCCGTGCGGAACTGCTAAATAATAATTTGATAAATTCATACATTCTATCTGATAAACCCAATAACTTATTTAGCTGGGGAGATATTTCATTATTACCACTGTCCCGGAGAATAACCAGCCAGTTCACTTCTTTAGACAGTTTTTTTTTTTTAATCCAAAATCCTGATACTGTATACAAAATCATGACAGGACTTAATTCCCATTAAAATAAGACTGAAAAATTATTATTATAAAAGTTTAAAGGTCAGAAAAAAAAATTCTGGCAGTTTTAAATCTCTAAATAACAAGATCCAACCAGTTTAAATCTCCGAAACAATAAAGTCCAGATAGTTTTAAAATTTCGAAAGTATTTTTTTTTAAAAAAATATCAGAAATTTTATGAATAACAATGGTCTTAACTTAAAAATCGGTACATATTTCAATATTTGTGAATTTGCAATAAATATAACATTTAAAGGGGCTCTAGTAAATCAGAACATGTTATTTCAGTTAAGTGTTTTAAAAGTAATTGACAGTATCAGGTATAATGAACATCTACGGAACTCAAAAAAATTACGAAGATCGTCAATCCAGAAATCGAAAAGAGCGATAAAAAAGAATACTAGAGGGTTTCAGAATTAATGATTCGACGTCCGATTTCAGATAAAATAAGTGACTTTTATTTAAAAATAACGACGTACAAATTCTATTTTTTTTTAAAGTATGTACAATCGCTTACCGGTGAATGATTATCAAAAAAAAAATCCCCCAATTTTATCGGCTATTTAATTTTCTGATTCGGAATTCTAAAAAAGAAAATATGATCCCACTTATTTTCGAAAAAAGTTAATTCTAAAACCTCTCACTGTATAAACAAATTCAATTATTACATTATATATATAAAAAAAGTACATACATACTGCATACTTATATTTCAAAATTTAGTTATTTGATACGATCGCAAGTACCTCCCGAGTACAATAAACTCTTCATGTGAAAAATTTATTTACATAAGATTACCCGGGTTATTACATTCTATCATGAAAATTTTTAATAGGACTTTGCGCAGGAGTACTATAATCCGCACTGTACGATATGATACAATACGATACGATACGTCTTGATCCGTGCAGTGCAATACGATGTAAGCATAAAAGTTATTAACAAATTACATAACATTGTTACATAATTTTATTTCGGTCATGCAACCAAGTTTAGAATAATGGTAATAAGATAATTTATTCAAATACGTGCGTACGTACGCACGTACGTAATAGATTAATAGCTATTGGTTTGCGATAAGTATGTCTATGCGTATAACACAAATTACATGCATCGTTTTTTTTTCAATACTACGTATATGCGAAAAAAATACTCTTTTATATTAAATATCGATCTTGCAGATGGTCTTTTAATTACAAAATCTCATTATAAAACGGGCAAACCGTGGGGAGTTTTTTTTTTTGAACAAAAATGTAAGGGAGAGAAGGAGTGGTATTAATTGATACGAAATATGATGTGTGAAAAATAGAAAACCAGATTATATAAGAGTAACTAAATACAAATACAAATATAATAACATATAAATACAAAGATATAAGAAAGCTTTTTTTTTTTTTCTTTTCTTTAAAGGACTTTTTTTCTTTACAAACTTTTGATAAATGAAATTAATAAACCGTGTATATATAATTAAGGACAATTATTTCCAACAAGAAAAAAAAAAGGCACTCAAAAAATCCTGTACATGCAGATAGAAAAACCAAGGAATAACATTGGAAATATAAATTTTATTAATTAAGAACGATAATTACTTATATATAAATGCCTAATTTAAACAAATCTAAAGCACCGTAAAACTTAATTGATAATTTAGTCAGAAGTAGAACCTCTAGGAGTAGCAGTTTGAATCAAGAGGCTTGGCACACCCGTCACTTTTTCGCTGTTTTTAGCACTCTTATAAATCATAACTTGTTCTGGTTCATTAACTTTCACTGTGATATTAGGCTTCGGTTTATGTTTATATTTTTTATGATGGAATACCACGTCTCCTAGAGCTTCAACTCTCCATTCTCCATCATACATTTCACGACGTTCAGACCACAATCTGTAGGATAAGAATGATGATATGATGAAAGATACTCCAATTATCCAACCAAAGATAATGAATAATAATTTAGTAATGCATTCTTGGGCGACGTAAGGGGAAGATGTGGAGGGACAGGCATAGCTATAGCCTTTAAATGTTGGGTAGATGTTTGCTAGGCCTATAAAGTACAATTGAAAAGGAGAGTTAAAAGAGTACTGTAATCTAAAATCATTAATTAATAATAATATAAACTGTATATCGATGGATTAAAATTTTTACCTGCAGAAAGCCATAAAAATGCAAAGACACTATTTATTAAAAGAAAAGCAGATATTATATTATTTAACCAATAAATTAATGAAAAAGTTATTGGTTGAAAAAAAAAAAATTACCAATAAAAACAAATTTAAAAATAGACGAGCAAATACCTATTGATTGTGATATCACGTTTATGTGGACCGGTATAGAACAAATGACGGACTACATATACACCTATATTATGAGAAAAAAAGTTTTTTTTATAACAATTTTTGGTCATTTTTATAACATTAAATTTAAATTGATTTCACATTGATTTTGTATATAATTTTTGAAAAAAAAAACATACCACCATCTAAAAGAGTAAGAAGCATAACGATGTAGGAATAAATCTTTACACCGTTAAAATAGAATTGGGTACCATCGCCATATTGAAATCTGTTTTAACGTAAAAAAAAAAAAAAGAATCAAAATTAGATTTAATGATATAGAAAAAAAAATTTTTATATATCAGATATATTCATAATATAGTCATATATAGACATGTTAATTCTATTTTTATAATGTTTTAAGAGTTACTACAGTAAAGACGTACATTTGACCTGAAAAGTATGCGGAGACCGGGATACCTTGATCAGGGGCGAATTGGGAAAATGCAGAAGCTTCAACAAGTTCTATTAATAAATATATATAAAAAAAATTAGCTACTGCTCTCTTATGCTTTCATAAATAAATTCTTCTAATATTCTAATACATTATAATGTTAAGAACTACAGTATTATCTTTCATTAAAAAACTAGCACAGGATAATTAAAAAAAGACGGATTAATACCTAAGACGAGACAAATTATTGTGAATAATAAATGAAGGATTCTTATAGATTTAAAGGTGGTTTGAACAAAGTAGGTGTTCATCTTTGATTATATTATTAAAGAAAATAATTGTATATAATTATAATCTTCTAAAGGATGATTTTAATGTTTTACGTTCGTTCCTGTGGCAAAGGAAGGAGGATAGTATAGGTAGGTTATTAATGTAATTTATTATTGATAAGGCATGATACGGGTTTAATGGATATCCGAGAGTGATCCAAGGCCTTTTAGGAACGGTAAAGAACGTTCTAATGGTGATATGGATGTAATGAGAGAGGACTCGGTAGCGGAATGTAATGGAATTACTAGGGGGGGTGGGAGGATCTAAGACAGTAGTCCACCAAAAGTCCGATAATGTAATTTAAAGAAAAAACACAACAAACACAAAATTTTACACAACATTTTTGAGGCTTTATATGTTTAACTTTTCCAACCAATTCTTTTACTTATTTACTTTATTTTATTGGCTCTCACAAAATTTATTAAATAGACCAACTTGGAATATAAGATAATCCGAGTATCATGTTAGTGTATATGCGTTTGTTTACTTCCTGCATGAATTGTTTTTTTGACCAACGTAATGCGAAACATAATTAACATAAATTGGTAACCCATATGACTTTTATTTCTTTACTTTTATGGAAAACGGTTGTTTATAAATCATTAAAATAATGCACACAGATTTAACTTATTTGGATGTAAATCACATTATCGTATAACTTACATAGTATCTGTTTTCACTATATTAATATATCTAATATATCTAATATATTAATTATAACAATAATGTCAAAACAAAAACAGATAATTATTAATACACGTGTCTATCTATCAGTAGAAATTACAAAATTATGAAAAAAAATAACACATTTTTGGTTAGGAAAAAATTTTCATACTATATTTATACAATATCAGTACAATATTCATACAATATTCATACAGTATTCGTACATATTTATTCATATAGTATTCATTCAATATTTTATACAGTATTAGGTACATACCAATAAAGTTTGTTAGGATGCATATAATAATATTATTAAGCATATAGAAAGTTAACGAACCAATAATAAAGGCTTTCTGTAGACAAATGTAGAAAACAAACAATTCAAAAATTGATTTATTACGTAAAATACAGTCATTCCGCTCAAGGTTGAAGGAAGTTGCTTCTTGGGATGTCATAACACAGTTACTATTTTTAGATAACTTTAAATTACATTAACAGCGGATAAACGTTATTGAATACGGAATTCAACTATCGATTGTAAACCGTTTTTTTTTTACTACAATTTTGAAGTTTACATTTGTCGTTACAATTGATCACATGTTATTTACTCGTACTACGTAAATCAATAATGAACTAACGATTTTTATTCATAAGTTAGTTATAAAAAGTTAGAGAGATATACGTATGAATTCGTTATATACCGTAAATCGCTAAGTTTTAACATATCAAATATTTAACTTGCAGTAATTTTATAAGAAAATTTTCAAAATTTTCATTAGATGATTTTATCATAAAGAAAAATGGTCTATGTTGACTGTATTTGTACTTGAAGTCGTATGCTCAAAGTTACACTGTCTGAAATTTTTTTGAAATCCGGGAACAATAAAAGTTTCAGAAATTAATAAATATAATACATAATTGAAACAAGTACTTATGTACGTAAGATCTCCTTGCATGTATCTTAATCGTACTAATCATATATTTTAATAAAATTTTAAAGGAGTATGACTAAGTGAAATAAAGTTCATCCACCAATTTTTATTTTGTTGTACAAACCAAAAAGATTTAAATATTGTAATTTTTGGCTTTATTTCGTCAGTAAGGGCGCTTTTGAGCATAACAGATAATATTGTTTATAGTTTTGAATTTTCCGGGTTCCAACACGAATAACGTAGAGTTGACTGATGTCCTAGCTTGGCTCACAAGCTCGACTATAGATTCTAAGTCCTAAATTCAAACATGATAATACTTTTATTGACCCATTTAACCCAATAATACAATAGACCGATAAAAATATTACACATTACGAACCGTAAAACTCGAAAAATAAGCACTATACCCTCTATCTTAATCTCAGATTAACAAGAATAACTTGAGTAAAGATTTTATTGCTATTTCTACTAAATTGAGATTTAAAAAAAACAGGATAGAAGGTGTGATGCTTATTTCTCGAATTTTACGGTAATTAATTTTTTCAATGATACTATATTGTTATGGTGTAAATCATCTAAAGACGTACAACGTTGTAACTCCTTTAGTTGTTACAAATAATATGTGTTGAAACTATATCGTATTTACTTAAATATTATTTAAAACAATATCTTAGCAAGTAATAAGAGTGCATAACATAATGATTTTAAATTAGGCATAAGAAGCTATTTTCATTATTTCATATAATAAATATAATAAATTACACTTTTATAATCATTTAATTATTACCCTCTGCAATCTTACCAATTTCAAATAAATAAATATAAATATAGCTGATTGAAAATATGAACTAATAGACAATTTAGAATCTCAGAAATTTTCCCATGGGTAGTGTTCCAAATTGAACTGGCTCAATTAGGCTTATCCTAAACCCCATCGACTTATTTAAGACTTATTTGACTTATAAGCCATATAACATATGATATGTTCAAGAATATCATATAAATTATACAAATAAATGATATTTTTATATTTTATATAGTATAAAAACTAAATAAACCTTAAGGAGCCAATGTGAATATTGAGTAAGCCTAATTGAGCCGGTTCAATTCGGAACACTAATCTGGGGTCATATCTTTTTGCAAAGCGCTATAATCTAAAATAGCGTGAATTAAGAATCAGAATCTTTTATATACTTAATATGTCGATACGAAAATTTCAATGATATAATAGCCAATTTAAATTTTCATTTTAAATTTTTATCATAGTAAAAATGAGATAAATTTTTGTTAGTATAATATTAACGTTTATTAGCGTTAAAAATTTATGATTAAACTTTAAATTAGAGGTAAACAATTATTGCAGTTTGAAAAAATTTGCAACTCTATGACTTTTACAGAGAAAACCTTTGAAGTTCTATTTATTGTATATTCAACCAGTAATACTTTCTATTATTCAAAGTCAGTACAAAATTATTAAAGTCGAATCTGCTAGAGTCTGTAACTTCACATAACATCCATCCGATCTGCGGAGGTCACACTTTTTAAATTATAACTAGGGATGTTAAACAGATCGGTTTAGTTGGTTTTTAAATTGGTTTGGGTCGAGCTTTTTTAAGTCGACTCCAAGCTACTTCAATAGCCACATGATATTTATAACAAAATGTGAAATTTTATGCGTATTAAGCATGTACAGTACTGTACGTTGAATTGCATTAAACCAATTATACTTCTCTCATCATATGATTCTTTAATTGAGTCTACATCTGATACTTACTCGATTTCTGGAGTTGAATCAGTCTGGACCGAACTTTTAGCAGCTCTAATTATAACCAACTAATCGTGACGAATCTAATTATAACTTGTTTATTTGTAACATCTTAATACAACCAAATAAAAATTCATGTAACTCAAATCCTAACTCTAACTACTATTGGCTAACTATTGGGATGTTATATGTAACAGTGTTGCGAATCATTTGAAGACTTCAAATTTTTTAGTTAATCGAAACCGTTTAATGTGATGCAAAAAAAATGTGATCATTTATTATACCAATCAAATTTCTTAAAAGTGATTTGCAGCTATCAGTAACTAAATTGAAAATTATTTGGTTTGAAAATTTTTAACCAACTCGGAACACTAGATCAACACACCTTACAAGAACTACTCATTATTCAGTAAATAAATCAGTTGATTATTATGGTAGTGTAATCGTCGTAAGGGAAAGCTTGGTACGAGTTTAGCTCCGAATGGTTGACGTAGGAAGGACACATGGACTTGACGATAATTTATGGGACTCCGATATTTATGATTTATCATGCATTTACTATACGTAAAAAAATGTCAATCTATGTAATCTTTATTTTAGAGATGAATTTTCAGAACACATTTTATTGTTCAACCAGGTGCGGGAGCAAGCATTTATATAAATTTAATTTCGTAGAACGTGATCATAAAATTACAACGTATTCGCGATATTTACCACGTATACTTGGTTGTACATGTTGTATTAAGCCTCAAAATACCGATACGTAATAACGCAAAGATGGGATTAACATTGGTTATGATAGTGAATTATGGAAGGTAAGTGACAACTTAAATAATTAGACAAACACGGACATGAGAAATTTGGGGCAAAAAATTATTCGTTTAATAGCAAGAACAATGAATAAAGAAAAGATTTTAACTATCTTTGTTACTACAGAGAAATTTTTCTGTATCTGGTATCTTGAAGTTGTTATGTGCTTTATATTCAACGACTCTTGTTTATACCCATCTAGCAATGGGAATATTAATTTGAATGAAATATTGGCATACAATTTCTTTCCTGTGGTTAAGTGCGTCAAATTAATACGTATCTGCATCGATTAGGGTTTAGCTAATATTTTTGGGAGTAGGTAAAAAAAATATATATTAGTTTTAATTTTGATTGGTAAAAAAGTTTAAATATCTTAGGTAGTGGTAAGCCTCTATAGTAGATGGCTATTAAGTATGATTCCGTTAATAAGATTTTCACCTTAATCTTGACGAAATATAGTACAGTATTTAAATTTTTTATCTGATGCAAATTTTAATTTGACGCACACAGACTGAGTTTTACTGGTTAAAATTTTGAACAAGTTAAATAAGAAATTAATTTTTGAATGAAATCAGAACATATTTAAGTCAAAGAAAAAATTTTTTTCGAAAAAGCCTTAAATACAGTAATAAGATCTCATGACATTTATAAAAATATTGACAAATTTTGATCATATTATCAAAATCTTAAACAAGATAATAAATACATTCTTATTTTCTATAATTACTATGATTCTTATGATTCTTTCAAACATTCTAATGTAAAACCAACTACGGTACTCGAGAAAATTTAATTCGAATAGAATAGTATTTTTAGTAAAAATTTTACTTATATTAGAAAAGATATAGCAAGATCTTATTAATGATGAGATGAAATTAAAAGAGATAAACATCTATATTAGAACAGCAATGTGAAATCTGGAAGTTGTAACGAATTTAACCCATGAATTCAATGTTTTTATTATATGCAAGTATAAAATATTAAATTGACACACACCATCGAAACGACCAGAATATCTATTTTACACGATAATTATAATTCTTCTGAGCGAAATTCGCTGCAATGAAACCTTAAATTTTCACTTAAAAAAATGAAGGCTAAATTAAAAATAAAGCAGATGTTGGTAGTATGAATAAAATTAGAGTTCTATCTATCAAAGAGTTCAATGACTTTATTTATAACTCTTTCAGGTAGTTTTATTTTTACATTTTAATAATGAAAAATAAACGTATACATAAAATTATTTGAAACGTATCCACATACATAGGCGACTAAAGCGTACAATTATTTAAATAAATATAATAAATAAACTATGTTCATAATAACTCAAAAATTATTTGATCTTTAAATTAAATCTAAAATTAAGTCATCATCGGTTGATATTCCTATCTTCCGTTCTATACTTTTACTTGTGTACATGTGGTTTGGATGTTTATTGGGCTGAGGGTTCGGTTTGATCTTGTTTGCATCCAAGAAATATTTTTTGATTTCACTATCCTGATTTATCTGATCAAGCCAATAAATGATCGTTGCATTTATGACGGTAGCTGTGGGTCTTTTTTCTGGATCAGGCTCCATGCATCTCTCCGCTAATTCAACGTAGCATTTTGGCGTTCCTTTATCTAATTCTGGTCGTCGCGGATTCTCTTTAGCACATATCTCTCCTTGAATACTATCGAATGAAATTCCATCGAAAGCTCTCTGTCCTGTTGATATCTCGGTCATGATGATTCCTAATCCGTAGATGTCTGCCGCTTGAGTGAATTTTTCACCTTTCAAGACTTCGGGAGCAATATAAGGTATTACGCCTATAATTTCACCTGTTTTTTCGGTTTTCTCACTAGATGTAAACCCGAGATCTGTGATGTATGCGTTACGTAAATTATTTTGTAGAATATTTCCGCTGTGAAGATCTCGATGAATAAGTTCTTGAGAATGAATCGATTCAAGATCTGAAGCGATGCAATGTAACAAGTTTAATTTGTCTCTCCACTCCATTTGCGCCACTTCTTTAAGATTATGCTTTAAAGAATGTTTTTTTGCGTACTCCAAAACTATCATGTAATTATTAGAATATTTGTCTCTAGATAATCCATGACATTTCAAAAACGATGGATTTTCGTAATAAATCTCGCAAAATTTTTTTAACTAAAATAAATTAGAAATTTTTCCTAAATGGTAAAAATAAAAATCCAATAATACTGTAATAGCTACCTCATCAATAAATTCTTGACTACATTCGTCCGAATCATGGACCGATTTAAGAGCTACATGTGTCCACAAACTTCTGCTTTCATCGAACCAATACGCATAATAAACAGTCGAAAATCCACCTTTTTCTATTTTTTGAATGTCTTTAAATTCGTTATAAGGAATCCATGTTAATTGATATTTTTCATCTTCTAATATTTTTTTCAAACCATTATCGATGTTCTCATATGATATTTTGTTTATTTTTCTTGAATTTCTTTCCATTTTATACCAATGATTGGCTCTTTGTATGTCTCTCGGTACACTGATTCCATTTCGATAACAATCACCAACATATATCATTCCTGCAACATGTCCCATATTTACAGATTTTTTAAAGTATTCAAAAACTTTTTTTTCATCCATTTTAACTCCAATTTCATTTAGATAACAATAACCAACATTAAATGTTCCTTCTATATCATCCACATCAGCAGCTTTCTTAAAATATTCAAACGCTTTTTTCTCATCTTTTTCAACTCCGAATCCATTCATATAACAAATACCAACTTTATTTAATCCATCAGAGTAATCCATATCAACAGATTTTTTAAAATAAATGAATGCCTTGTGTTCATCCTTTTCAACTCCAATTCCATGTCGATAACAACAACCAACGTTAAATGTTCCTTTTACATCACCCATATCAGCGGATTTTTGATAATAAATGAATGATTTGTGTTCATCCTTTTCAACTCCAATTCCATCTCGATAACAATATCCAAGGTTATTTATTGCATCAGCATTCCCCATCTCGGCTGATTTTTGATAATAAATGAATGATTTGTGTTCATCCTTTTCAACTCCAATTCCATATAGATAACAATAACCGATATTTAATGTTCCTTCAACATTACCCATATCAGCGGATTTTTGATAATAAAAGAATGCCTTGTGTTCATCCTTTTCAATTCCTATTCCATGTTGATAACAATATCCAAGGTTATTTATTGCATCATCATTTCCCATCTCAGCGGATTTTTGATAATAAATGAATGCCTTGTGTTCATCCTTTTCAACTCCAATTCCTTCATCATAACACAAACCAACGCTAAATGTTCCTTCAACATTACCCATATCAGCGGATTTTTGATAATAAAAGAATGCCTTGTGTTCATCTTTTTCAACTCCAATTCCTTTTATATAACAAGTACCAACTTCATTAATTGCAACAGCATTACCCATATCAGCGGATTTTTGATAATAAATGAATGCCCTATGTATATTCTTTTTAACTCCAATTCCATATCGATAACAATAACCGATATTTAATGTTCCTTTATCATGACCCATATCAGCGGATTTTTGATAATAAATGAATGCCTTATGTTCATCCTTTTCAACTCCAATTCCATGTCGATAACAATAACCAACATTATATGTTCCGTCAACATCACCCATATTGGCGGATTTTTGATAATAAATGAATGCTTTATGTTCATTTTTTTCAATTCCAATTCCATTCTGATAACAATAACCAGCATTACATATTCCTTTAGCATGGCCTAAATCAGCGGATTTTTGATAATGAATGAATGCCTTACGTTCATTCCTTTTAACACCAATCCCTCTGTGATGACAATAACCAATATCATTTATTGCGACAGCGTATCCCATGTTCGCGGACTTTTCATAAAATTCGAATGCCTTCTTTTCATCTTTCTTGATACCGATACCATGTTGGTAGTTGTATCCAAGTTTGCGGAGTTCAAGCTGGCTCATTTTTTTTAAAGTACAAATTACAGAATTTAAATTCGTAAATCAAAACTTTTTATATAACTGGTTTAATAATAATGTTTTTTTAGGTGGAATAGATTCATATACTTAATAAACTCTTTAGGCACTCCATTTGTATGTGTGAAACATCGCCAAACTTTATTATTTTATATGTTTGTGTGATACTTATAGATCTATGTTTGGTTCAATTGATAATTTTTGGACGAATTTTGCAAGTCATTTTATTTTAATTTGGTGAGATTAATCGGAAAAATATGTATAAAATAATACATTATTTTTATTATTCGGCGAGTATACTCCGACTTCAATAAGGTAATACTGTGAAAATTATATGAGCAATCTGTAAAAATTCAGAGTTTGAATAAATAAACGGATGCTTTTGTACTGAAAAAAATAAAAATAAAATGCAAACCATACGAAAAAATGTGTCTTTTTAGATTAATGTCTATAACTCATAATTTCAAAATATATTGGGAAATGTAAAATGATAAAATTTAACATTTACGCTTCTATCAAATTTTTATAGTTTCCAAAATCCCAATTTTGAAAAAAAATGAACTGTTAAACCCAAACCATATTACAAAATCATCAATATTTGTCAAAATCTTGGAATAAAATACAAAACTCTCAATCAAACCATCAAGCTCTCGAAAAAATTCAAAAGATATTGTAAAAACTTTGAACAAATGTAAATAAAGCCTAGAAATCATAAAAAATCTTGACAACAAATTTAAAATTAATAATTGATTTAACAAAAAATGAAATGAAGTTAAAAACATTCTTATTTTCTGTATCTGCCATGATTCGTTCAAATGATATTGATGACACAAATGAATATTCTAATTACAGTAAAACAACTGCCCAAAAAGTTTAAATATACGTATTAGAAAAGATATAGCAAGATTTGCTAATGGTGAGATGAACAAAAGCGATAAACATTTAAACTGTGTAGCTGAGTGAAATCTGGAAACGAAAATTCAAGTTTTCACTGTAATTTATTATTTTGTGTGATAGCTTTATAATGTACAAGTTTTTGTTACTGCTATAGAAAAATATTAAAGTGACGAAACGAACAGAACATTGGTTGTACAAATGATTAAACTCACTACAGTGAAAAACTTAAATTTTCACTTCCAATTTTTTTACTTCCAATTTTTTACTTCCAATTTTCCAATTTTTTACTTCCAATTTTCCAATTTTTCATTCTGCTTCACTCAAATAGTCAAACTAACCAAGTTGAAAAATTAAAAATGAAATAAATAATGGTAAATAGAATTAAAGTTCTATTTATCAAAGAGTTTAATAATACTGGTAAATTTAAAACGATCTTTTGTTCTAGAACTCTTTCAAATGGTTTTTTTTTTTCGTGGAAAATTATAATTGCTTCTGATTCTGATGATGTCGATTCTAATGGTGTAGAAGCATCAGAATTGGATTCATTTAAAGACATATCGCACAACTTGCTAATTTAATTTGCTTAATTTTAGTAAAAAGAATCTATTTTTAATTTTCGTCAATTTATTCTCTTTATTTAGTTTTAAAAATAAACTTTTTTTATTTAGACTCAAAGTCAATATTACATATGTTACATCCTACATCACATCTAATTTCCAAAAAACTTATGTTAAATCAAGTAAATGTCGGCTATTATGACCTATGTCGTTACGGCATTTTTGGCATAACTGCGTAACTTTTTGACTTCACCAAGTTCCTGCGCCTATAGTCGTCGTGACTATCAAATGAGACACATTTTCGGCATACCTTGAATCCTGATTTTTCAATCCATTAGCTAATTTAATATCTGGACACGAATCATCTATATTATTTATAAACTTTTTTTCAAATGTTTATTAATTTTAAAGAAATTATTAAATTGATCTTTATTTTATTTATCACTGTACTAAAAAAATCATGTATTTATAAATTATGAATGACGCCAACTTGTCCAAATCTAATAAAAAAAAAGGAACTTTAAGAAATTGGCAATAAACAACAATGTCATCACATGGTACCACTATAAAATATTTTCCTACATTTCCAAAATAATAACCCAATTCACAAGTCAAATCGTAGTTTATACCCCACGTAATTCAAAGTTTATTTCGTTCATAGAATTTGATTAGCGCTTTGACTTTTTTCTCATTATCAATGTTATCAATTAACAGCTTTTTGAGCAAAGTTGTCATTAAATTAAACAAGAATTTCTTAAATTAAGATATTCAGTGTTAATGGTAATGTTTCTGCAAAGTGAATAACTCGTTCTTCATCCGGTATTTCGATAACGTGAGAAATTGAATTTTTTGTAAATTACCAATAAGATCTAGGAGTTTTGTGAAAACTTGATAATTGAAGTGTTGAGATATGTAATGTTTGGACAGAATGATTCAAGTGTTTTTATTAATAACGATTCTTCTAAAATCATCTTATCTACCGATTCAAGCTTTAATTGTTGTAATAATGTGCTGGGCTTTTAAAAATTAACGCAATTTTCGATGCGACAATACTGTAATTAACTATCTCCAAAAGTGCCGATTTTATAATCCAATATTTTCATTATTTCCTCATAATTACAATGCCCGATACGAAAAATTTCTAAATTTTCACAATTCATCAACAACTTGAATTCGGTACTATAACCACAACCTTCTATTATAACCTCTCGTAATGATTGTTTTAGACTATCTAAAGCTGAAATATTGCCGTGGAATTCTTCACGAATATCTCCAGCAACCAATTTGAATTCCTAAGTTGCTTTTGTGATTTAATAATGCATATAAGTTCATGAATTATTTATGAATCATAATGAGAATAAAATTCCTCAATATTCAAAGCACTAAGCTTTGTAGTATTTTTTGCAAGATATTTAATAGTGCTATAGCATTTTCGGTGCTGAATTCTGATATTCCTCCCAATGACAAATATTGGAGTTGTGGGGAAAATTGCTCATTTCGTCTCAATGAATAGAAGATCTTTGGCCTAATTTCGTTAAAGCCAGAAAAATATGTATCGAATTTGTGCAAAGTGGCTCCGCTCT